AAAAGACACTCTACATTTAAGAGTTCAATAAAGTTCCTGATCTGTATTCCAGATCCTCATCATGATTTGGAATCACTTCACTGTTTGAAATGGCAACAACCGTCTCAGACAAAACACAGCCTTGAAGTCAAAGTGCAGAAACTGGACCCTCCCTCCCTTCTCTACCCGTTGGGCACTCTGCAAAGTGGGTGGGCCCATGTAACCCATCTTGGTGCCTGAGAGTTGTTTACAAAGAAAACTCGCTCAGGCTGGTTCACTGTGGACAACCATAACATACTCTGGAATTCTGAATTAGGGCGAGGCTTTTCACACAAATTATTTACCTGGCCAAAAAAAAAAAAATCAAACTTGTTTCTTTCCAGGACACCAAACTCACTTTGGGTAAATTGGATAGAGAATAAAGAATGGCACAAAGCCAAAACTAGTGCTCCAAGAGTAGAGGGTTTTCTGTTTTAGTCACTGCTCTGTTAAGAAGAGTGCCTGGCATATATCAGGGCCTCATTAAGCCTTAATTTTAGGGGGAGAGGGAAAAAAGGAAGGAAGGAAGGAAGGAAGGAGGGAGGGAAGGAAGGAAGGAAGGAAGGAAGGAAGGAAGGGAGGGAGGGAGGGAGGGAAGCAGGCTGGCTGATTTCTCAGAAGCTGTAACAATAGCATTCAGTCCACGGGGAGAAAAATCAAATGAGCAGTCTAAATTCACAGAAACCTCAACATAAAGATTAAATAAATATAACCTTATGATTTCTTATATTAGAAATGTGCCCAAGAAAAACCTGCAAAGCCCCAACAAAGTTCTCATGCCTTTCACTGGGGTGTGCTCCATATTTAATCAGACTGCTCTCCAGAAGCTGCTTTTTTGTATAGCACCTTTTCCAGAATCCTGGACCTAAGGCAGGGATGAAGCCTTGATGATGATCTTCATACACTGTAGGGATGGAGGGAAGCCAATAAATCATTTTGTCAATAGCCTTCCTCCTGCAGGAAGCAACATATTTGAACGACTCCAAACCACAGAGTCCATCTATTTCCGTGAGTTTTCACTTGCATAAAAATTTGTTTCTCAATATGAGACTTTAGGTAGGTTAATCAATCCCCTTGCACATCAGATTCCTCATCTTTGAAATTGACATAAAAACAGTACTTGCCTTATGTGACTGTTGTGAAGACTGGGAAATTAATATAAAGTACATGGCACAAGGTCTAGGATACAGTAAGTGCTTGACAGGGCTGTTATTGTCACAGAAGGTAAGCTTATTTTGCAAATAAAAGAATAAGGCATTCCTTGAGGTCCAAGCATTTCATCTTTGGGCACACGCCTGTACTCTCTAGGTATGACTGGGTCCTTAGTTCTAAGCCAATGAATGATTTGCTATTTCCAAAACTCCTTAATGTTGCTGGATCCACTTCATCCTTCCCTTGAGGGCCCACGGAAGCATAGAGCTCAAAATGTACACCTTCTCACTGTATGTGAGAATTATCCTAGGATTCCTTGGCAGAAATGAGTGTTTTGACTTAAAATTGACCAGAAAATGGCCACAGTAGATAAAATAACTGGCCTAACATGCTGGCACCTGGCCTGGCTGCGGGCAGAGATGGCAGGCAGTGAGTGTGGGCTAATGGACAGAATGCTGGACTGGAGTCAAGAAACTACGGCTCAAGTGTGATCGTGTCACTTTTAGCTGGGAAAGCAAGTTTGTTCACCTCTCCTGGCCTCAGTTTCCTCTTAAAGCTGGGATATATACTAGACTAACTCTGAAGTTCCTTTCTAGCTCTCAGACTCAATGATGTCATAGAAATGGTGAAAGCCAAGAGGATGGTTAGCAGGAGCAAAGTGGATAAAAAGATATGAGGCCAGGAGCAGGGCGGGAGGGGACCCTAAGAATGTGAATGTAAAGGGAAAACTATGAGTAAGTAAAAGAAAGGACTAAGTACGTCAAATGTTATCCATAAGGTGCAGGCGGGGAAGATGAGCTGGACTGAAAGCCTAGGAAAAGAGCAGTTTAGGAAAATTCTAAAGGGCCAACAGTTTGGAAGACCACATATCTCTGGAACTGCAGTACCAGCCAGAAGGAACCTTGTCTCTTCAGGGACCAGGGAGCTAAGAGAGAAAAAGAATGTAAAAGTCCAAAATCAAAGTTAAAGCTAGAATCTTCAGTTCTACTGTGTAGCTACAACTAATCACATCAGAGGTTAAGAACTCAGACTCTGAAGACTGGCTACCCAGGTTCAAATCATGGCTCCATGACTTACAAGCCTTGGGACCTTAGGCAAGTGACCTAACCTTTCTGTGCCTCAGTGTCTTCATCTCTAAAAAAGGGGATAAAACCTAAAGCTCCCTCATTGGGATGTTGTAAAGATTAAATGAGCCAACAACCGGAAAGTCCCTTGAGCAGGGTCTGGTATCTGTTAAGTACTAAAGTGTTAGCTTATGTACTTATTTTCTGCTACAGAGTGGGATGTTTACACATCTCACTGCAAAGTCACTTCATTCTCCTCATCAAGAGGATTTAGGGACAGGATTTCCCACCAGAGGCTGAAACCCAGAAAAAGAACCCCAAGTCTGTTGTCCTTTTATTCCCTGGGCGGGGTCAGGAGGAAAGCTCCAAGCACTGCTTATAGAGCCTTTAGTATGTCACCAAGTCTTCAACTGCCCTCCATCAATCCTAAGGCACACTGCAAGGGGCACCAGATGACCATAGGAGCATCAGACAGGCCAGCACTTAAGGAAACAACATGCTCCTGGGTTTCCTCTGGGGAATCTGCCATTCTTTCCCCTGCATATTCTTTAAATGTTCTGCTAAGTAATCCTAACTTGAAGGCAGTTGTTTTTTGGCACCAAGACATTAAAAATGATATCATTTTAGTTTTTCTCGCCCTCTTACAGACCCAGAGGTTCCCACTTGATGTACTAATTATCACCCATGTGTTTTTATTTACCCCTCAAGTCATTATGCATTCCTAATTTTTCTTCCAAATGCTGTAAAAAACACTGTTGGTTTTACATGTCTACAGTGTCCCAGAATTATCACACCTAGGAAAACATGGTGCATCAATATCCCCACTTATAAGTAAAAACAGCACTTTAGTAGAATCAACATCATTAAAGAACAAAAGCCACACCCTTCCAATGCTCTCTCCCTTTATGACTGAGCTCCAAGGACTCATTTTATTTCCATCTGCAAGGCAAAATATTAATGTAAAGTGGACCAAATAATCTGATTTTTTGGCCAGACACTAGTGTTCCTTGAATTTTTAAAATATGATTTAGAGAAGGAGCCATCACTGTCCATTGACTATTCTGTTTCTCAACCCAAAAGTCTTTGGAGATTGACTTTATAGGATGGGGGGAAGAAAGTAATGCCACCAACTGGGTTCTGCTTGCTTCATCCACACGCCAAAGAGCAGAAGAAGTTGCCTTTAGGGAGGCTGTGAGGGGAAGACAGTCAGGAAAGGAGAATGAAGTGTCTGAGGAAGCAGTGCAGGTTGGCCTAACTGACAAGTTTCTCTGGCTCTTTCCCCAAATGCTCCTGATAGGAGTTGGAAACTGCATTTTTTTGAGCTCTGTTGATAATATTTCAAAAATAGCCTTCCCGATAAATACAAGGAAGTTATATCTGGAATTTAAAAACTAAGTATATAAGCTGTTGATTAAAAAAAAACACTCATGGGGTTCAGTTCTTGTCTTACAATGTTCCCTTCCTCCAATTTTGATATAATTTTAGAAATCTTACCATGACTTCCTTAAGTGTACAAAAATAGCTTTCAATGGAGAACTGTTCCATGGGATGATCTGTATGACTGATAGGTCTTAGTTTAAAGAATTTCATTATAAATATAAAACTTAGATTAAACTAGTAATTTTTTTTTTTTTTTGAGTAGGAGTCTCACTCTGTCACCCAGGCTGGAAAGCAGTGGCACGCTCCCGGCCACCGCAGCCTTGACCTGCAGGGCTCAGGCGATCCTTCCACATCAGCCAGAATTCCAAGTAGCTGGAACTACAGGCACATGCTACCATGCCTGGCTAATTTTTTGATTTATTGTAAGAAATGAGGTCTCTCCAAGTTTCCCAGGCTAGTTTCGAACCGTGGGCTCAGGCAATCCTCTCACCTCAGCCTCCCAAAGTGCTGGGATTATAGGTGTAAGTCACCGTGCCCAGCCACTAGTATATATTTTTAAAAAACATTTTCTTAAAAGTTATGCTAGATCCTGAAGGTTTCAGAACATAGTTATACAAAACTTTCTATAATCTGTTTGTGATATTAATGCATACATTCCTCCATATGGACAAATAAGATAAACATCACCCCCCCAAAAATCCCAAAATAACATCCCTCTATTCTTTCCTCAAAATAAATGTCAAGTCTTATCACATGTTACACTATTCTCAAAAGGAAACCCCTCGAATGGCCTTCCAGACTATGAATTCCCATGCTGCCACTGATGCTCTGTTACTAAATTTAAGTGTTTTTAAATTTAACTTACTGGCAAATTTTATACAGTTTTGAGCACTAAATTAAGTGATCCGTGACAGAAAGAAAGACCACATTGAAAAAGAGGGATATACCTAGTCAAAAACCTAGCCCAATGGGCCAAGCACTGTTAGAAGATCTGTTTCAAAGCAAGCTGGACTCAGATGCTTTCAATAAATCAATAGATATTTATTAAATATCCATTATGGCTAGGGCTCATAGGGGAAAGGATAGAATAAGATACAGTCAAACACTTTTTATGGGGAAACAAGTCACCCCACCATGAGTTCTGGAATTAGAGGGCTTAAATCTGGCTCTACTAGATGTGTTTGTCTGGCAGATTTCTTAATCTCACTGAGCCTCAGTTTCCTAGTCCGCAAGTGGAAGAAATGTACTCCATTCCATAGAGTTTTAGTGGTGACTGGATTAGATGAGACCATATAGGAAAGGTGTCTCTCATTACATAACAATGCTATTTTTTTCCTCCATCATATACTGTTAAGAAAACAGTAAGTAGTAAATGCAGCGTTCTACCTGGAAGGGGTTTGTCTTCATTACCCCCATGCAGAGGAACTCCCTTATTTTCTGACATGTACTTCTTGGTGATGGGCAAGGACATCAGCCTAATGTGATGGATAAGTGAGCGCCAGGTGTGAGCTCCAGAAAGCACTGGCTCAGGTGCTAATGGGCTGAAAGGCTGAATCAAAAAGTAGGCAGTGAGCAAGATTAATCCCAAGGTTACAAGGACCTACAAGGAAAGATAGGAAAGGTATTAATAATCATCCCTGCAAACAAAATACCTTGATGTCAAGAAAAAAACAGACCTCTTCTGCTATTTCCAATATGTCTTAAAAACTAATCAATTATCATAAACAAGCCACTTACACTCATTTCTTGAAGCATTTAAAATTTGAGAACTATGAGGAAGGAAAGGCTCACGCTTCTACTATACAATCAGGAGCTATGTCCATCATTTAAAAAATAAACAAATACAGCTTGATGATAAAGACAGCTTTCATCTAGAACATTTAACAACAAGTAACACATGGTAACACATGGTTTTTCTGTTTATTCACAGAAAAACCAAGGCTCAAACGTGAATCAGTCAACAATAATATCTGAGAAGAATGTTGACAGGTTTGTGCTCTAAGTGATTTCCAAGTCAGAAATCATTTTTACCTTATACACAGCTATGAGGAGAGGATGCTGGGGTGGCCCCCTCTGAGGTTCATTCTTTTCCAGCAGCTGTCGGATAAATTTTTCAATCGCCTTCTCTGACATGCCACATTGATGGCCTGTCTGTCTCACCAAATCAACAGTTTCTGAAAGTTTGTCATAAATGCTGAGCTCATTGGCAGCAAGATCCATGTCTTCCCATATAAATTCCCTGAGAGAGAGAAAATAAACGTAAAAAAAAGAAAGATGGTTTCTTGAAGTATTTCCTCCTCAAAGCTACTTTCTTGACCATCACTTTAATAAAATACAATGAATATGTTACTTGATTGTGGGCTAGTAACAGTTTACAGACCATCACGGTGGTCAAACATTCTGGAGCACAATAAATCCTAATGGGACTCTGAAGCCTCCAAAAAGGTTTCACAGGAGCTTTGCTACTGGTAATTCACTCAAATTTTAAACATGGAATATAGACAGTGTTGTTGATCAATTATTTCTAATTATACCAGAGAGATCTTTTAGCAACACAAGAAGAGAAGCTGAAGGTGAGATTTGCTGAGGAGCATGCTGATAAGCTTTGTTCTTAGCAGAGCAAGGATTTCAGACACCACCACACAAAAAAAGACCTTGAAGTCTGCAGTCCTTATCCTTTTCCACAATTTTAGACAACAAGGGGCATGTTATTTGTATTTATATACTTAAAAGACCTAAAATCTATAGTTTCAAAGTCAATTTGTGTTATTCAGTTACTTTAAAGTCAGACTGTTTCACAGGGTCCATAGATCAAAAAGTAAAAACTACAGTGGCAAAGTGGAGTTCTCTCTGTATCATCTGTAAAACAAAATTAAATCATTCTTATAAAAAGTACTTTCAGCCAGACTCGATGGCTCAGCCTGTAATCCCAGCACTTTGGGAGGCCGAGGCGAGTGGATTGCCTGAGGCTGCAGGTTCAAGACTGGCCTGGACAACTTGGCAAGACCTTGGCTTGACAATAAAAAAAAAAAAATTAGCCAGGCGTGACAGTGCACATCTGTAGTTCCAGCTGCTTGGAAGGCTGAGGTGGAAGGATCGCCAGAGCCCAGCAGGTCGACGCTGGGGTGCCACTGCACTCCAGCCTGGGCGACAGAGTGAGACTCCAACTCAAAAAAAAAAAAAAGTACTTTTATTACAGAACAAAAATATTTTTCATTTACAGAAAGAAGAACAGTGCTGAGGGTTTATGATCTCTTTTACTAAGGTTTTTTTATTTTATTTTTAAATGCAGAGGGTACTATTATTTCACATACTTCATTTCTGAAGTGCTTCTAACCTCAAAAAGCACTGACATGGTACACGTGTACTCACTCAGTAAGGAGATGCTACCACCTGTAGGGTGGAGCGCAACAGTCAAGTTGCTCCAATGCAACCCAGCACACATACCAGCAGCTCCTCTTCTAGCAAAGCGCCTCCCAGTGACTTCTTTATGTGGTCTTCTTTGTGACTATTAAGCATTTAGTTTATTAGATCTTAACCTGGCCTGCTCATTGGAAGCACCTAGAAAGCTTTTAATAAATACTTGACTGGGCACGGTAACTCATGCCTGTAATACCACACCTGTAATCCCAACACTTTGGGAAGTGGAGGCGAGAGGATTGCCTGAGCCCAGAAGTTCAAGACCAGCCTGGGCAACTTGGCAAGACCTGAGACCTTATCTCTACAGTAAATCAAAAAATTAGCTAGGCGTGGTGGCGCGTCCTTGTGGTTCCAGCTACTGAGAAGGCTGAGGTGGGAGGATCGCCTGAGCCCAGGTTGAGGCTGCAGTGGCCATGAGTGTGTCACTGAACCCCAGCCTGGGCGACAGAGTGAGAATCCAACTCAAAAATACATACATACACATACATATATATATACTCATGCCTAGGTTTCAACCCAGATCAATTAAATCAGAATCAGAAGACTTCTTTTTTTTAATATATATTTTTTATTTTAAAATTGTGGGGTACAGTTAAGGGTTAGGTATACAAATACTCATTGTGCAGGTACCCTTGTTGATGAGGTGTGCCCCCCTTATCAGAAGACTTCTAATGGTGGATTAACAGACATGTAATCTAGACTTTGAGGAACTGGGGGAGGAGGAAGAACTCCTCAAACCAAACTCCCAACACTCAGATAAAAGGATGGTGCAAACTATAGTTAAGCCTTGAACAACACAGAGTTGAACTGTACGGGTGCAACAGAGGCAAAAGACTAACATAACTAACTCCATCTGAGCTCTGCTTATGCTTGCACATAGGCTCGGATAATTTTGAAACACTGAAAACATAGGAACAAGTATGCAGCTGTTGAGACTAACTCTAAGAAAAAGCAGAATATGTACACTGTGTTTTGTTCAAGATTTAAATAAACATTGTGACGTGAACAAGGACAAAGAAGCTTCCCAACTCCTGCAAATAGTTTTCCCCAAGTCCGTTTCCCTTTAAAAATCTTATGATCAGCCTCAGGAACTTGAGATGATCTTTGAGACATTAGTTCCTCATCTCCTCAGGTTGCTGGCTCTTGAGTAAACCTGTTTTCCTTACACGAATCCTTGTCTTTCGAGTTTGGCTTTTGAGTGATGAGCAGCTGAAGCTGAGTTCAGTTACATGGGTCCACTTATACGTGGATTGTTTTTCAATCAACCAAGCATCCAAAATACAGTATCTGTGAGATGTAAAACCACATAAATAGAGGGCTGACTTTTCATATACATAAGTTCGGTAGAACTGACTAAAGGACTTGAGTATGCAAAGATTTGGGTACATGAGAGGGTCCTGGAACCAATATCCTAAGTACACCAGAGGACAGCTATATTTTTTAATTTTTTTTTTTTGAGTTGGAGTCTCACTCTGTTGCCCAGCTGGACTGCAGTGGCATGCTCACAGCTACTGCAGCCTTGACCCGCTGGGCTCAGGCAATCCCTCTGCCTCAGCCTTCCAAGTAGCTGGGACTACAGGTACACACCACCACACCTGGCTCATTTTTTAATTTTCTGTAGAGATGAGGTCTCACCAAGTTGTCCAGGCTGGTCTCAAAACCCTGGGCTCAGACAGTCCTCTCACCTCTGCCTCCCAAAGTGCTGAGATTACAGGTGTGAGCCACCATGCCTGGCATCAGTTATGTATTTTAAACGTGTATTTCAAACAAATGGCATTAGGACAACTCTGGATATCCACATGGGAAAGAATGAAGTTTGACCCTTCTTTATACCATACACAGTAATTAACACAAAATAAACTGAGCCAAAACTATAATAGTCATAGAAGAAAAGAGGGGAAAAGCTTTTTGATACAAAATTAGGCAATGGCTTCTTAGATATGACACCAGAAGCACGAACAGCAAAATAAAAAATAAATTAGACTTCACAGAAGTTAAAAACTTTTGTGTCTCAAATGATATCATCAAGAAAGTGAAATGACAGAAATGGGAGAAAATATTTGCAAATCATATATCTGATAAGGGATGGTATACAGAATATATTAAGAATTATCACAAATCAATAATAAAAAGACAATCTAATAAAAACATAGACAAAGGATTTGAGTAGCCATTTCTCCAATAAAGATATACAAATGGCCAATAAGCGCACAAAAAAATATTCAACATCATTAGCTACCAGAGAAATGCAGCTCAAAACCACAATGTGATACCATTTCACATCCACTGGGATAGCTATAATAAAAAAGTCAGATAATAAGTGTCAGTAAGGACATGGAGCAATTGGAACTCTTGTACAATGCTGGTGGGAAGACAAAATGGTACAGCCACTGTGGGAAATGGCTTGGCAGTTTCTCAAATAGTTAAACTATCCCACTCCTAAGGTAGTGAGTTATGTATGTCAGAGAACTGAAAACAATGTTCTCTGTATGTGCCCAAGAGGACTGAAAACATATGCTTACAGAATAACTTGTGCATGATGTTAATAGCAGCATTATTCATACTAGCCCCCAAATGGAAGTAACCCACATGTCCTGAGGAAAGGATAAACACAATGTGGTATATCCATATACGGCAATATTATTGGATGATAAAAAGGAATGCATGATACATGCTACATGTGGGTCAATCTTGAAAACATTAAAGACAGTCACAAAAGATTACCTATTATGACTATGCTTATATGAACTGTCAAGAATAGGCAAATCTACAGAGATAGAAAGCAGACTCCCAGGTGGGGAGTGACTTATCTGAGACCACAGTCAGTTGTCACCTAAGCCTCATCTGGACCTCACAGTCTTTACTCTGCCATTTCTGAGTAGCAGTCAGGAGAAGGAATTACAAAGCATTAAAAGCCATACTAACAACAACAACAACAACTACAAAAACCCAGAAATTAAGATGTAGCATTTCCAATTTAAAATAAGTCGGAAGCCAGGCTCGGTGGCTCAGCCTGTAATCCCGTGCCTTTGGGAGGCTGAGGTGAGTGGATTGCCTGAGCCCACGGGTTCGAGACCTGCCTGGGCAACTTGGCAAGCCCTCATCTCTACAATAAATCAAAAAATTAGCCGGGCATGGTAGCACACGCCTGTAGTTCCAGCTACCTGGAAGGCTGAGGCGGAAGGATGGCCGGAGCCCAGCAGGTCGAGGCTGCGGTGGCCGGGAGTGGCCACTGCACTCCAGTCTGGGCAACAGAGTGAGACTCCAACTCAAATAAATAAATAAATAAATAAATAAAATACGTCGGGAGTAGATGATCTCTGGGAAATGAGATTATAGCTGATACTAATTTTATTTGTGCTTTCCTATTTTTCAAACTTTTCTTGTATCAATTTTGTAATCACAAAATTTCCAGTTACTCCTAAGGAACATCATTCGGCACAAAACAAGCCAGAGAAGTGCAGCAATGCATGGCCATGCACCACCATGCAGCAATGCATGGCCATGCACCACAGGGAGGGGTAGGGCATGATTTGCCAAGCCAATCACTTTTGGACTTTCCAGAGAGCTGTATTTAAATGTTATAGCTAGAAAAATGGAAGCAGCACTGGATTAGGAGAGAAGAGGGCTGAATTTCTATTCAAGCTTTGCCAATCACTAGTGAAATGATTTTGGTTAAAGTTGCTTGGTCTATTTCTGCACCCAAAAAGAAGACTGGACCATAAGATCTTTAAAGTCTCGTCTTAGCCAGGCTTGGTGGCTCAGCCTGTAGTCCCAGCACTTTGGGAGACCGAGACGAGTGGACTGCCTGAGCCCATGGGTTCAAGACCCCCTCAGCAACTTGGCAAGACCTTGTCTATACAATAAATCAAATATTAGCCGGGCGTAGTAGCGCACACCTGTAGTTCTGGCTACTTAGAAGGCTGAGGCGGAAGGATCGCTGGAGCACAGTGGGTCGAGGCTGTGGTGGCCGGGAGTGTGCCACTGCACTCCAGTCTGGGTGACAGAGTGAGACTCCAACTCAAAAAAATAAAATAAATAAAAAATAAAAAATAAAGTCTCCTCTTGCTCTGAAATTCTAAGAGTCTATTCAGTTCATTAGAAACTAAAAAGACATCTGGGCTCGGTGGCTCAGCCTGTAATCCCACGCCTTTGGGAGGCTGAGGTGAGTGGATTGCCTGAGCCCGCGGGTTTGAGACCCGCCTGGGCAGCGAGACCTCATCTCTACAATAAATAAAAAAATCAGCCAGGCGTGGTAGCGCGCGCCTGTAATTCCGGCTACTCGGAAGGCTGAGGCGGAAGGATCACCAGAGCCCGGCAGGTCGAGGCTGTGGTGGCCGGGAGCGGCCACTGCACTCCAGTTTGGGTGACAGAGTGAGACTCCAACTCAAAAAAAAAAAAAAAAAAGAAAGAAACTAAAAAGACTTGGCCGGGCTCGGTGGCTCAGCCTGTAATCCCGTGCCTTGGGAGGCTGAGGTGAGTGAACTGCTTGAGCCCGCGGGTTCAAGACCCACCTGGGCAACTTGATGAGACCTCATCTCTACAGTAAAATAAAAAAAAATTAGCTGGGCGTGGTAGCGCGCGCCTGTAGTTCCAGCTACCTGGAAGGCTGAGGCGGAAAGATCGCTGGAGCCCAGCACGTCGAGGCTGCAGTGGCTGGGAATGGCCACTGCACTCCAGTCTGGGTGACAGAGTGAGACTCCAACTCAAAAACAAAACAAAACAAAAAAAAGACTTATATCTAACTGCATTTCTATTCCTGCTCTCACCCTATATGGCAGGTGCCTTGCTAAACACTCTAGAAACATTATCTCAGTGAATCCCTCACCATGAGGTCATAAGGTAGGTGTGATATTAATCCCATTTCATAGATGTCCAAGGCTCAGGAAGGTCCCATGCCTCGCCTGGGTGTGAACACGAGTGTGCTTGACTTCAGGGTTGGTGCTTTCAACCTTTATGCATGCTGCCTCCCTTACCACTTACTTTCCTATTCTGAGCTGGCAGTTCCAAGACCATGTATCTCTTGACCACAACTGAGTGGCTGAGAACTGGAAAGTGATTGACTACAATAATTCCTGCAAAGAGAGTGAAGTAATAACTTACTATAATATTTATCATTTGTGACCAGTGGTTCCAGAGATGGCATTTTCCTGTTTAAATCAACAAGGATGGCCAGGCGCGGTAGCCCACGCCTATAATCCCAGCACTTTGGGAGGCCGAAGTGAGAGGATTGCCTGGCCACAGGTTCGAGACCAGCCAGGGCAACTTGGTGAGACCTCATCTCTACAATAAGTAAAAAATTAGTGGGGCGTGGGGTGCATGCTTGTAGTTCCAGCTACTTGGAAGGCTGAGGCAGAAGGACTGCATGAGCCCAGCAGGTCAAGGTTGCAGTACCAGTGAGAGTGCCAGGGCCCTCCAGCCTGGGCGACAGAATGAGACTCCTACACATAAATAAATAAATAAACAAACAAATAAATCAAAAGGGACATTTTAGGAAAGGAAGTAGGAATAATGTCCATTCAAATACATTACAATAAATTATCCAATAATACTCCGTCAAAAGCCATTAAAACTCAGGAGGGATTGGGCACGGTGGCTCATACTTGTAATCCTAGCACTTTGAGAGACGGAAGTGAGAGGACTGCCTGAGCCCAGGAGTTCAAGACCAGCCTAGGCAACTTGGTGAGACCTTGTCTCTACAATAAATAAAAAAATTAGCTCGGTGTGATGGCACGCACCTGTAGCTCCAGCTTCTTGGAAGGCTGAGGCTGAAGGATTGCCTGAACCCAGCAGGTCAAGGTTGCAGTGGCCGTGAGTGTGCCACAGCCCTCCAGCCTGGGTGACAAAGTGAGACTCCAACTCAAAAAGAAAAATCCAGAAACAAAAATTAAAAACTCAGGAGAGGACCAGAAAGAAAAGAATTCAGAAAGGAATTATAGAAAAAAATTCCAGTAAAAACTGTAAAGTGTGTATATTGGAAGGTGGGATCCCTCAGGCAGAAGAGAACATCACATTGGTATGCCCTTAGAACCTGCAGGGGACAGAAGTGCTGGTTAGTCTAAGAGGATCAACCATTATATTTGTGATGACTGTTTCATAACCTTTGTAAACCTCTGGTTTGCTCTCACCCTTTTTTCAGAAACAGAGTCTTGCTCTGTTGCCCAGGCTGGAGTGTAGTGGTGCCATTACACCTCACTGCAGCCTCAAACTCCTGGGTTTAAGCCCTCTTCTCATCTCAACCTCTTAAGTAGCTAGGACTACAGGCACACAGCACCATGCCCAGTCAATTTTTAAGTTATTATTATTATTTTTTTTAGAGATTGGGTCTTGCTATGTTGCCCAGGCTGGTCTCGAACTCTTAGTCTCAAATGAGCCTCCTGCCTTGGCCTCCCAAAGTGCCAGGATTATAGGCATGAGCCAGCATGCCCAGCTCTTTGCTCCCTTTTGCTACTCATTAAATTCCCAGTTTGTACAACAAAAAAACAAAACCCAACCCCCTCCCCCCCTTTTTTTTCTTTTCTGGTGATTCAAGTATAGACTATTACAACACTGAATGTATTTTTGGAACCCGTACATCCTTCGTGCCAGAGATTGTGACACATTTCTCAAGTTATCGAAAAGGAAGTTACTAGTAACTTGGCGATGTTTCTAAGAACACCTGGGGATCTTGCTAAGAAGCCCTCCTTTTGGCTTTGGTTTGATCCATGGCTCTAAACTGGAAGAGTCTCTGCCCCACAGGGGTATCTGGAGACATTTCTGATTGTCTCACTAGAGGGATACTACTGGCATCTAGTTGGATATGATGATGTTAATTAAACAACAAAATCTTGTCACTTTAAAAAAATCAAACACAAAGTCATGGCTAAGCATCAAGCATGACAGGAATGAGTGAAATCAGTTGAGAGTTGATGGTGATCCATTCACCTCGAGAGAGGAGGTCCAAGAGAGAAACTCAGAAGAGTGAGCTTGCAAACAGTGTCTTAACCTGCAAGGGCACAGGCAGGATTGCAAGGTATCACACACCACTCTGGACATACTAAGTTTTTAAACAACTCTTCCCTGCAGACTAAAGGAACATTCCCAATTAAGAGACACTGATTCTGCTCCTCAGGGGACATTTGGCATGTCTGAAGACATTTTTGTTTTATTTATTCTTTTTTCGCAGTAGGCAAACATATCCAATAAAGACATTTTTGATTACCAAAAGTGGACGGAAGCTAGGCACTGTGGCTCACAACTATACTTGGGAGGCTGTACTTGGCTCAACTACTCTGGAGGCTGAGGCAGGAGGATCACTTGAGGCCAGGAATTCGAGGTTGTAGCATGCCATGACTGCACCTGTGAATAGCCACTGCACTCTAGCCTAGGTAACATAGCAAGACCCTGTCTCTAAAAATAATAATAATAATAAATTAAAATAAAAAACAAACTGGAGGGATACTCCTTGCATCTAGTAAGTAAAGACTAAACATCCTACAATGCACGGGCCAGCCTGCTATAACAAAGAACTGACCCGCTCAACATTTTAAAAGTGCTGAGATTGAGAAAACCTGCTTTCAAGAAAGGCTCGTGGGAGGTAAGCCAGGGAGCGCGTTCACTTCTGAAGGAGCACTACAGGAATAGAAGGAAGCAGCTGACAGCTCTAATGAGCTGTTTTCCACAATCCCTTCCAGTCTATGAAGAAACAGGGTGAAGGCACAGCTGATAGAACTTATCCATAAAAATGTTTGTTTAAAACAGAAAACAGGTTAAAAGAAGACTAAATGTAAACTTCTTTGCCCTGTTTAGCAGAGAATTGATTCCTCAGTAGATGCAAACATGTCCTGAGCACTGACTGACATCACCCTGGAGGTTCTGAGTCTTCTGAAATGCCATGTCAGCTAGGCGGCTCTAAGATGCAATGCTGATTCATCTAGTTTAAACACTGTAGATCAGAAGGAACGTTTCAAAAGCCCATCTAAATATGTCCCAATCATCAACACTGGGAGCAATATCCAGAATAAATCAAGCTTTCTTTTTCCCCTACTTGGTTCTTTAGTATTGTGCTAGTCATGTAGTAGGGTATCCATTTTTAGTGTTATGAATATATTCCATTCTATTTTACCCAGTGATACCCATTAATTGAAGTTAGACTCTATGAAAGAAAAAAATTGTAATTAAAACCACTAAGGAAAAAAACCAACATATGAAAGGTAAAAAATTGATAAAACATTAAAATGATTAATATGATTTAAAAGAGTAATAACTTAAAACGGTAGCTGAACTCGGTGGCTCAGCCTGTAATCCCGTGCTTTGGGGAGGCTGAGGTGAGTGGATTGCGGGTTTGAGACCCACCTGGGCAACTTGGCGAGACCTCATCTCTACAATAAATCAAAAAATTAGCTGGGCGTGGT